TCTTTTTTATTCAATAAGCCGTTCTCGGTGGAAATAGATTTTGATTCTAAAATAAGCACTTGCCTTACTGATAGTACAGAAGAGGCTGGGAATACCCGGAATTATGAAGACTTCAAATTGCACATTCTTTATTTGAGGTTTACATCAAGGTGGGAAAGCTATGTGAAATTTCCACGTTTGAATTCATTACTAGAACATGCTCGATCAGACAAGTTCTGGCGCGTCCAAACATTAACTACAGGCCAATCGTTGGGAATGCATGCGGAGGAAAATTTGAGAGCTCTTCTAGAAGGTTTGGTAACTTCAAACTTCACAGGGAAACTGAGCTCACGAGATAACATTTTCCTCCAAGCACAGAAGAGTGGCATATGTCTCGAAATGAATGTCCTTGCGTGTAAGAAATCAAGGATATTGGAAGAAATAGAGGGGTACGCCAGGTCTAAAGACAATGCAAAGATGTGTGGATCAGCGGACAATAATTTACGCCCCTTGTCATCCGGTAACTGGAGTGTACAGTGTGAGGACGAGGATGACAACCCGGTGGAAGCTTCTTTGAACGTAGAGGAAACATTGAACAGTGTTCATAACCATTCCTCGGAGAGGATGTTAAGTTTAACTTATGTCAACGTGCTCCATCTCCCTTCTGCGTATACACTCGACTCGTCTGTCACGCGGTTCGTCAGTAAAATCTTGTCGTCGAGTAAGAATATTCTGTATATCGTCAGCGACATCGGGGACCCTCGCTTCTCTAGACTGGACCAGAGTGTATTTCTGAAGTGGCAGACGTTCAACCCAATGCTACATCTGATTACTCCCAGTCACCTGACCCCTGTGATGTCATCGCTGGCTGCTAAATCTGAGCCCAAGTACTCATCCCAGAAAGCTTCTCCAAACTTCCGGCTTGTCACGCTTCTCGGCGTTTACGAGAGCGTGAAAAACTTTTTGTCGCCACACGACAGCGAACGAGCCAACATTACCACCAATAACCAAACTGTCACAACTTCTTCTACAGTTGACTTTGAGAATCTGACGACTGCTCATGGTCAAATTGAATCCGATGTTCCAACTGACCATAGCTGTCCGGCCGTGCAGATTAGAGGACCCGTGGAATGTACCTGTCTTGGTCGTCTCGTACATTTCCCAAACGACAGCGTCCAGGCTGGTTTTGCCTCTCTGGTCGTGGGCAGAATCAACAACAAACTGCTGGATTTGTACAGGTTAAATGATGATCAGACTTCCGATTCGAGGGCGGACCGAACATCGGAAGAATGGCGAAAACGACAAAAAATGAGAGCTATCAAGAACTCCCGTATGTGTGACAGGCTTGTTGGAGTTTCCTTCGACAACGTCCGCCATGCTCTCTGGGGGAACGCTACGATCGTTGCCATGGATCTGACGTTAAAAACTACTACGCGGCTCCAAAACGAACTAATTAAAATTTCAGCAGAGATCGCATACGAAAAGATTGCCCATCTCACGGACGCACGAGTTGGAATTAAATTCATTGCCCCAGGGCCAATGGACATAAATGATATAGGGGAACCGACATATCTCGCTCGTTTCTACAGACACACTCTCTGTAAAGAGCCAAACAGCCTCAGCGAAACAGAGGTCTCTAAACAGGCCTTTCTCAGATCTCTCTCCCCTCGAAGAAATCATTTTGGTGGCCATACGGAGACAAAATCCCTGCATTACCCTTGCTTATACGCATTCACCACACGGTTCAGGGAAAGTTCCATGCTAGAGATCGCAAACATATGTCGAGACCGATCCTATCGCGTCAGTTTTGCTGCAGAACTGCTTGATATTCTTTCCTTGTCCCACCTTCCCGCGGACATCGAGTTGAGGGCGCATGAAGTTAGGTTTCTGACTAGTTTGGTTAAATCAGGATACGGCCTTTCACAGTTCGCGTACAACATAAAGACGACATATTCTGTTACTGTTCACAACTAGCATGCAGAGAAGCAAATATTGAAATATTATTATGTTGTTTGAGTGTAAAATGTAAAGAGACAAAACAGACTACAAAGGAATTAAACTTCTGAATAATGGCACTTTAAGATAGCCGCCACAGTTAATACTCTACGAAGTCGTAGAAGTTCTAAAATTAAATTGATATTACAGAGAAGAACATTGTCAACTGTTTTGTAGAAGTCATGGATGTCCACTATTATGCAAATACGGATAAAAGATGAGAAAAGTAAAGACTTGAAGAGTTATATAAAGACTAAAGAAATGATAGACAAACGAATAACGCACACCTGTACATGCATTCATGTTTTAAACAGAGAGCCTCTCATACTGTCCATTCAGAGTTTCTCTTTATAGACATCTCTATCCTAGGGGGGCGGCAGGGGGGGGGGTCTCTTTTAGATTAGATCTGATCTTGTTTTGGGGACTAGTGCTGTCCGACCATCCAAAGAAAGAGCTGGGCCTCTAAATGGATTTGCTGTTAATGGTGTAAAACTTTCGTCTTTTTCTTTTGTGTAAGATCAAAACTCTATGGTAAGATTAAAACCCTCCTAGACACAATTAATGTGTCAACAGAAAGGCAGAGTGTTTGACAGCACAGTGAGTCTATTTATTTACCAGCAGTCCAAGAAGTGGAGTTTATGAGGCACATATTGTCGGTAAGCTGATAAATGTTCTAAGCCCTGGTAACTTTTTTATTGTCTGAAGAAAGAAATAACTGCTCCAATCTTTTAACGATTGCACCCCTTGTATGTGTCTTCATTTGCCTCTTTTCGACATTTTGAATTAGATCCAGAATTTTGACAAAATGCAACAAATTGAGCACAAACAACCCATTCCACAGATTACGAAACCGCAATCTTAAATAAAAAAGAAATCAAACTTTGGGACACGATACACGACAATGCCATTTGAAACAATTGTATAGATAAATCACTGCAGCTGAGTACATATTATTTTAAGGGCAGTGCTGTCTAAACACAGAAATAAAAGTATGTGGGAGATTTAAGGACATATTATTGCACAGACTCATGACGTGTTTATGCTGTTGATTCAGAAGTGTATTTCTTTGTGGAGAATTTTCGTTGACGTAAATGTAATATACATGTACTTGAGAAACTTGGTCGTATTGTTTGTACAAAAGTTGATGGCAGCCGAGGATGGCATAAGTTGTTTCTTTGTTTAAGGGTTTTTTTTTCATGTTTTTTTTTTCACTTTTTTCTTTCTGTTGGTTTTGTTTGTTTGTTTGTTTTTGTCGGACGCTCCAGTGAATAGTCTGCCATATTGTTGTTTCAATTTGTTTCATTCAATCATGTTACTATTGTTTCATCCCGCCCTCACTTCTTTCACACAATCTCTCTCTCTCTCCCAACCCCTTGTCTCTCTCTCTCTCTCACTCTCTCTCCCTCTCTGTCTCTTTCTCTCTCTTTGTCTTTCTCTC